TGAGAGAAACATCTTCCCTTCCTCCCCTCACCTCAAATCCAAGTTCTCTTTTATAAGCATGTTAAAATGGTGCACTCAAATGATTTTTTTCATAGTTCTTAGTAATGCCTTTGAGGATAGAATTCAGCCTTATCATATTTTTTCTGTATAGACCTGGTTAGGTTGATTATAGGGATTATTAAGTACAGTACAATAGAACACATACATCAACACCCTAACACTACACGATGTCAGGTATGTAGCTCCTGTATAATCAAATGGTCACTTTGCAGGTCAAGGCTTAATCGCCAGTAGTCAGCTCAGGGGCCAGTCAGTCAGATAAATAGATCTATAAACTGACCAACCACACAATAGGATTAGTCATACCTTGGACAAGCTGTCTGTCCCAGAAAACAACAGATGCACATGGTTTATCAAGACCTCAGTAGGGGTCGGACATGGAATCTGCTGTCTCAGACTCTGGCACCCTCAAACCCTCTTTATCCCTGCCTCTTAACTTTGCCTGATTCATCCCCCAGTCTAATGCTTCATAAAATGCCCCCTCCCTTCTTCATTTCTACCTCCTAATCCAGCCTGATCTGTCCCCAAGTGATTCCCAGTCCTTAGAGTCCCACCCCATCTACTCCTTCCTGTTAACCTAACCTGGTCTAGTGTGATCTGCCAGGTGCCACAATTCCCGCAGGGGGGGGGGGGAATTCTGTTCCAGGCTCAATACCCCATGCCAGTTCAGATGGCTAAAGTTCAGTTACCAGTAATCACAACAAGGAAGGTGAATGCTTTACCAGACTATATTGTTTGAAGTTTATAATTAAGATGGCATCTCAGTGTTCCATGAAGTCCTGAACATTCACTTTAGTATTCTAGCCTTCCTAGGGTGGCACTGACCAGTTGGGAATAGTTACACCAGAAATATGGCTGTCAAAAATTTGTGATTCATAAAAAGAAAACCAAATTGTTGAGGTTAAAGGCTCAGGGAATTGTGTGGTGCTGGCTGTTTGATGTCCAGGAACTGAGATTTTATAGCCAGGTATGTACTGGTCAGTCATTGGTCACAACCCCGAACACTTGGTATGCATGATTCATAAAGAGAATTAATCTGTTTCATTAATTTAATGTGGAAGAGTGGAAATAAAACACCCCTAGCATGCAGTAGTCATTAATATTATGGAAAAGATACTCCGCAGATGTAAATAAAAAGTTAATGAGCTCTGTATAAAGAACTGCTGTATGCAATTCTCATAGCAATTTGTAAGATTTTTTTTTACTTAATTTCTGTGATTTACAATGTTATTTTAAGCAAAATATTAATTTGAAAACTTTTCAAAGTGGAAATGAAAGAAATCACTGTATTTTATTCATTGTCTATTTTTACATTCTGGAATTCTAATTCAGCTGCTTAATTTTCCAGATTAGTTTATAAATGAGGCACCAATACAAAAAAAAAAGGTTAAAAGCAAAATTAATAACTCAAAAGGTTTAATTAGAGCATATAAGTAATTTTACATATTAATTTTTTGTGTAAGTAGACTATGATTGAAGTAGCTGGAGTTAAGATAATAAATCAGGAGAATATTTACCCTACATATTAAGCATGCAGTAAATAGCTAATTTAAGAAATTATGAATGATACCTGATTCCGCCCAGCTGTAAATTTTAGATTAGAAAGTGGTTTCATAAATTACTGTTAAGAAATTGGGTGCATAAACAAATGGAAGAAGAGAGAAAATATTATGACGGAGTGAAAGATAGTTACAAAAAAAAGGATGGTTTTCGAAATTATAAAAAATTAATTGCAAGGAAATTTTTATATTCATTATCAAAAAAACTGGTTGTTTGGGTGTTTGAGTGTGTCCACCCTGGGAATAAATAGGAAAGTCCCCCAGGCAGGCCTCCAGCTCAGCTGTGTGTTGTGTGGTAGTGGTGGAGAACTGGTGATGACTCATGCCTACACTGAGATCTAGTATGGCTCACCATACACACACACAACAACAACAGCTTCTCCTCGCTTGGATCTCACATCCAGCTTCCTTATCAACCTTCTCCAGTTGGAAATAGGACACTACTTACATGTCATAGTGTCCAACAGGTGTCATTTGGTATTCGTAGGAAATTGAAGGACAGTGTCAATTTCAAAACAAGTTTGGAACTTGGCTTAGCAGGAAGGGCAAGCAAGTTAGGATTTTGTAATCAGCTGATTGAGGAAATTCCGGTGTTTATTTTGTCAGAGTCCAAGTCTGTGTACTGGAAAGTATTGTCCAAGGCAAAGTTTTCCAGTAATACTAGTGATTACTGACTCCTAGGGGTACATAAATGGAGTATGGATCTGAGTAGAGGACATCTTCTACCCACAGGCAACAGGTGGTTCTCTCAGTAATTGGAAGTGAGGAATATTAAGTTGCTTCATTATCAAGAACTGTTTACCCAGTTTGTTAGCCAAGTTGATGTAAAGGATATACATGTGATGTTCTGGTTCCTATGACGACTACAACAGGTAATTAATGTTTTTAAATCGTTGGTTACTGCATTGTTTTCATTCTTTGTAACTATATATATTGTGCATTGTTATGATCTGCATTTTTTTGTGTGAAAGAGTTTTATTGACTCAATCAGCAGGAGGTGACTCATACCTCCCAATCCTGAAATCTGTGATCTTAACAACCCTGTAAACATTCTTTTTTCTGGTTTGATATTTTTCTGACGTAATGAGGAAATCAAATGATGTCATTACGAAATCTGCTGTAATTACATGTTCCGGTATATCACTTAAAACCTGGTATTAACCTTTTCATGGAAAAGTTTGTAGCCTCGTAGCTGTCATAGGTTATAGAAAATGAGGACGGTCTAATTTGTTTTCATGTATTACTAATAATTCATGATACAAGTGTGTATACTAAAGGTATGAAAGGAACGAACCATTCAACATCACAGGTATGATACAGGTATAATACAGGTGTACCTGAGATAAAATATTTATCATCACTCTGTTTGAACTGTGTGTAATGGCTATATATACTTTTTTAAGATCACATTCTGACATGACCTTAGGTTGTTAAAGTAATATGAAATGGAGTTCACAAGTTTTGCTCCCCAAGTATACTTAAAAGGAATTGATCCTTCTGTCCTTTTTCAGCACATTTCATTTTGTGAAATTTAATGTAATAATTAGAAATATATGAAGATTTACAATAACAATGAAGTTTTAGGAATCAGATGGATCAATATACAAAATACAGTAATATTCTAATTTCAGCTTACCATTGGAAGGAAAGTTGAAATAGTTACAAGGTCAGAAACTTCTCAAAACTGTTTTGGGAATTTTACTACTGTTAAACTGTTTCTAGTAGCACTTCAGGTTTAAAGTGTTTCCTAGCTAATGCGGCAATAGGATGGATGCTTGTTGTGTCTTGTTATAGAAAATTATATCAAGATGTGTCAGAAACTGAAAGTTTTTCATTGATGGAGTTTTTAGCAATTAGAGAACACAGACCATTGGTACATGGCAGATTTCCTTGTCAATGTGCAAGGATGGTTCATTTTGTTGTTGCTGTATCATTGGTGCCTAGTTTTGCTTGGGTATGAAAATCTTTAATTGGCTCAGAGCTGAATCATAAAAATTCATTGTTAAACAGCTGTTACTGGAAAATGACTAAGGAATAGTGTTTGCAGGAGTAGGTCGCGTGGTGGCCGCGCAGAGGTACTAGACATGTGCATTTCACATGAGTGTGACACATACTTGGTAGGAAACGATGGCAACTAGAATTTCTGATGTAAAATTCAGACATTTTTTCAGCCGTCTGTCAAGACTTTTTTTTTTATGCAAAATTCTTATGGGGAAATGTAAACACAAATGGAAATGAATCAAAACCAAAAGCACTTTATGTGTTCTGTTTTAAAAAGAAAAAAAGGCACATATTAAGTTGCATTATTTAGTGGAAATTACCTTTACATGCATAATTTTGATGTTGATATTTTTCCCCTCCCGCACACCTATCAAAGATAAGCTTGATAAGTAGTCTGTTAATGCCTTGTTGTCTCTGGGATACCAGCACTGTGTGGTAAGAACTTGCATAACACCATAAATAAAGGATAACAATTTAATTGCATGAAACCTGAACATTTTGTAAATACCAAAATCATGAGTAAATTACATTATATTGATAGGTGATATATACACAAGGTCCAAATCAATACTTGATGCCTTTGTATGTGGTGTCCGTTTCCAACCTTTGATAATTTATATGGTGGTGTAAATGAACTTTTAACCCTACTGATGTTGATCATGCTTATGTCATAATGTTTGTGGAGTTTTGATGGTTTTGTGGCGATGTGTAGATTATCTTTAATACCCCTAAGCTACTCATTGTCCTTGTACGTGAGGGAAATATTTACAGAGTTCACAATTGTCTTGTCACATATGTTGACCTTGCTTGGCCCCAACAGTGTTTCTGCAATCTGCTTTGTCTAATCTAGGCTTTGTCTTAGATCCCAGGGACTGGTGGGAATAAACTGGCCTCCTTGTGAGGAGGATGCATGGGAGGGGGTCATGTGCCTTATCTCAAGCTCATTGGGTGAGACTTCCAAATAAGGTAAAGCTCATTTGCATATGATTAATACTCTATGCATCACCCTGAGCTAAAGGAGTTTCAGTATCTTGGGAGGTGACTCCAGTGTTTCTAACTCAGATTTAATTTATTCATGAAATTTTTAATATTTTATTTCCTCATTGACCATAGGCAGGAGGCTTGGTTTGCATAAATCATAATTAGACATTTTAAGTTTTTCTTCACCAGTAGTTTTCCAAGTGCAAACCTTTGGCTCTTAGAATGAAAGTACAAGTTTGGTAACAACTAAACGAAATATCAGAATATATTATGAAATTAATGAAGCAAATTTTTTGTTCACTTTTCCTTAAAAGTTATGTTTCAACCAAAATTATATGAAAGAGAAATTGCTGTTAATACACATCACAATCAATATAAGTTATTTGATTGTCGTTACAGGTGGATATTTGGCTTTTCAAGCCATGCATCCTATGTTGTGTGAAAACAAGGCTACAAGCAGCTACAAATGTGCTCCTCTGACATCCCTGTCCCAACCATGCCTGCCTGTCAGCAATGTGGGACCCACTCGCATACTATCCTTCCTGTACCTGGGCTCTCACCGAGATGCCATGTCTCAAGACATCATACAGGTAGGTCTCACTGGGCTTATTACATCATATACATCTTATGACATCCTACAGGTTAATGACACTTGACTCATGATATCATACTAGACTTTGGCTGTCATGCAGGTTAATGACACTTGACTCATGATATCATACTAGACTTGGGATGTTGTACAGGTTATTGACACTGGACTCATGATATCATACTAGACTTGTGCTGTCATGCAGGTTTATAACACTTGACTCATGATATCATACTAGACTTGGGATGTTGTACAGGTTATTGACACAGGACTCATGATATCATACTAGACTTGGGATGTTGTACAGGTTAATGACACTGGACTCATGATATCATACTAGACTTGGGATGTTGTACAGGTTAATGACACTGGACTCATGATATCATACTAGACTTGGGCTGTCATGCAGGTTAATTGCACTTGACGCCTGACTTTATACTAGAATTAGAACGTCATATAGGTTGATCACACTGAACTTACGACATCATACCAGACATAGGATATCATATTTTGGCCCAGGTTTTAGAACTTAGTCGTTAGAATATGTTGTTTTTGAATGTATTTATGTCGTTGACAACTTGACAGATGATCGCTTACAGCGATTGTAGTTTTATATTGACCTGTCCCTCTATTTATAGATTAGTATGATACAACATTTTAACAGCCTTTCCCAGAACTTCATTTTCCAATATGATAAAGCTTGTGTAAATGTATAATGAAGTCAGGAAATCAAGCTATGATATTCATCATGTAAAACTCATCTTTGCTTGACATCTATAATTCTTTTAATTTTCAATGCCTGACATTTCAGAAGCATTAATTTTTGATACACTTTATTTATATAATCTTCTAAGTTTTTTTTTCTTTAGTTGGTGTTTCAATATAGAAGTTTTTTCAGGGATAAAGACTCTAATATGTAAAACGTGCTTATTGATACCTTTGCATATTTTGTACTTACAGATGAATGACATCTCATACATACTGAATGTAAGCACCACCTGTCCTCAGCCCCCTTTCATACAGGAGGGACACTTCTTCCGCATTCCAGTCAACGACAATTATAGTGCTAAGATGATTCCTTTCTTTGAGGAAGCATTCCAATTTTTAGGTAATATCCAGTTTCAGACCTTCAGTCTTTTAATCTCTCAGGCTTTACAGAAAAATTAATAAGGTATGTGTTATAAGAAAAGGGAACAAGTTGTCAAAGGTAGGTGAAATTCTCAGCACTTGAGTTACTATATAGTAGTCCTGGCTTTTAAATGTTTTTGAGAGATAATTACACACTAAAACACTCAAAAGTAATCACATAACTGCTGTAAAATGCCTTAATTTCAGTTTTTTAAGGGATGAATTAAATGTTTTTGAGTAAAGAGCAAGCTATAGGAAATTACAAGCAAATTGTAAATAAAAGGAAAAACTAAGTAATTTTATTTTGAACTTTAGAAGGCAGAATACATAAAACAGAAGTTGCATTTATCAATACGGGGTTAGATGGAAACAGTAGACATGTACTTTAATACCTACTAGCATCTAATCACAAGCCTGATTCGACATTGGGTTATGAAATGGGTCTTAATAAGATGTGATGATGTCCCCCGAGTTGATGGAGATACATCCATGAAGTAATTATTGCATGTGAAGCTGATATAATGCAGAAGTAGGATTTCCTGCCGATTGTTATCATCTGTTCATTATACTCTTGTTATCAACAGGAACGTTACTATATATAGCCTTAAGCTTGTGTTGGCCTGAAACAATGAAAAGTTGCATGGACAGCAAAAAAAGTGATTGGCAATGCCAATTACAATAATTTTATCTCTGTTTACTGACTGACTGACAGCTGTGTATTTGCAAAGTAAATCTAGAGTATCAGTGTTTCCTAGGTAGTTCTATTGTACTATTGAGTACTGTACAGTGATAGTACATTGGAGATGACTTCGATAGCAAAAAACAATTTGATAAATATTGTCAGTATCATCATTGTTTTAAGAGAATTCAATATTTTCAATGCCTTAAGCATCTGTTTGAAAAATTTTATTCAATAATACTCAAAGACTGCAATACAAATTACATATATACCATACAACTAATACAAATGTTTCACATGCATATTAAATGAAGACTCCAGGGATATTATTAGACAAGAGACCTTAGTGTAACCAAGGTTTCGTAATATATAAACAAATATGAATCTGAGCTACCGCAGAAATCCACAGGACATGGTATAGGGTACTGCCTTCTGCTGGGAATTACCGCCAACTACTATAAAGTGATTCGTTTGACGTCAGAGAAAGTTAGAAAACAATGTTAATGCCATTTTATATGAGGCTGTAGAGGAGGTGATGTTGTGAGTCACTGTAGGCCTTCCTTTAGGAACAACACTACTACTCATCAGCATTCTATATTATTATTTCTGTCATTAAGTTATACTTAATAAATTGTATTTTATGTTAAATTATGTGGTTGAAATATCCATCATCAAATGATGATTAATTTTTCATTTTTTATTTCCAACCAACCTCATTATGAAATTTTAAAATCTTAAACCCCCAAAAAGTTCCTTTTTTAACCACTGCAGCTAATGCTGATGATGTTAGGAAAGAAGTCAATGATATTTAAAAGAAAAGAAAAAAAAACCAGAAAAAAAAAGTGAAAAATTATTGAGACAATTAAAAAAAAAAATCTAGTATCATTGATAGAGAGATATTGATAATAGGATTTACCGGGTAGGGGAATGGGAACAAGAGGGACCTCTGTGTTAATTGGATAACTGTTGCATTCTGCAGTGGTTAAATGTCAAATACAATCATAATCACCTCAGTGAATTTGAAATCGGCTTATAAAGGGATCGGAGAAGGAATGTTTCGACAGGATTATGTAAAGTTGAAATTTAAATTTAATTTTGAAATCTTGGCAGTGCTGTAATCTCTAAATTCCTTTCCAGATTATGGTTTTATTTCAAATATAATCTTTGTGTGAATTTCAAAACTGATTAAATCATTGTTAAGGGCTATTAGTGCACATTTAAAAAAGACATTCTGATTTTACAATAAGAATTTTAAGACAACTTCAACATTTGTATGGTCCCATCGCTGCAAACTTTTCTAGCAAACAACAGATTTATTTGCATTATCAGAAAATACTGTACAAACGGATTATTTTTTCTGTGTAAGGTTCTGAAATAGTTATTGAATTATAATTCACAGATAAATCTCAACAGTTGTATATTGAGTTAAATTACCAGTGAAAAAGCTAAGATTTGACATTAACAAGTTGAGGTCAGAATCTTCAGAGCACCAGTAATGCATTGGCTAATTTAGATAAATTAAGAGGTTAAGTTTTCCCAAGTAAACTTGATGAACCTTGAAATGTTTAGTAATATAAACTTATATGTTGAGAAGTACAAATTAATCAGACAATGTTATGATGAAGATAGATATATGGGTTCTACAAATTTTATCAGGAAGCCTAAATTTGTTGTGATTATTTAGTTATTACAAGCACCTGCTGATTTTTCCTCAATTGCAATCAATATTGTTCATTTCAGACAAAGTGCGAGAGGCTAATGGCTGTGTGCTTGTTCACTGTTTGGCTGGAATCTCACGGTCACCAACTCTGGCCATTGCCTATGTGATGAAACATCTCAACATGTCTTCTGATGATGCTTACAGGTACAAAATTTTAATGTAAATGTGCTGATTTCAGAAAAACTATATCTAGGACAAAAATTGTCAATAATATTAGAAAAACTTCAGAAATAATTCTATAGTTATTCTGTAGTTAGGCAAAGGAGCCAGCATATGTTTTCCCCAGAGTCAGGGAGTAGACCTATTACAAGACAGAAAACAGTTTTTTTCTTTAAAGCTTACAATTTCAGTGAATAGTAATCAATATAGATGGGCTTATTACCAAACATGGGTTAACCGTGGTATCAATTTGTACTATTTGTTGAAGTTAAGCTAACTAACTTAAGAAATATGATGAGTTACACATCAAATAGTCATTTATTATGTTACTCATTAATGTTACAGATATGTGAAAGACAAAAGACCAACAATCTCTCCAAATTTCAATTTCTTGGGACAGTTGTTGGAATTTGAAAAGAACTTTAGAAATAATGAAGAATCAAAGCCCAAAAGAGATGCATTTTGCCGACCAAGTGAGGTGCGAAACATGTCTATGGCAATGGATTTGCGAAGCCCTTCATCACCTGTGGCTAAACTGAAAAAGCCTTTCTCATTTGATGTAATGGGTTCTTCTATGACCACCCAGGAAGCATCTTTACCATGTTCTGGACCGAAAAGGGATAGTAATGACAATCTGCCTTTGGATGAAAGTCGGGGAAGTGACCTAAGTTTTGGACTGTCACAGCCAATCAGAAACATGAAGAGGTCTTTTTCCCACAACCTTGACCTTAGTCACACTGAAAAAGACTTCAACATGAGTTACGGTAGTACTGTAAAAATAAATACCATATGTGACAAATCGGACCAGACCCAGGATAGTCCTAAGACATTCAGTCGTGGCTCTAGTCCTTTCTCTCAGGCTCTTCATCCCCTTTGTGAATCTCCTGTAGCCATGACACCATCTTCAGAAATGCCTCCATTCCCATTTGGACAAACAAATGTAAATTCATCAAATAATGTGTGCTCTGAATCTCTCAACAAAGAGAACAACACAGAAATAGAGAGTCAAGTTATTGCTTCATCTCCTCGCTCAAAAACAGCTGGCATGCGGACGTTTATGTTGCCCTTGTCGCCTGTTACACTGCCATCTCAGAACTTTGTGTCATCTGTGAATGTGTCCATCACTGAAACAAACAATAGTGGAAGTAGTAACAATTCTAAACATGTTGTGATAGAACGAAAACGTACATTAGTTACCTCTCCGTTATCGGTTTCACCTGGAAGAAAATTTTCCAAGCCTTTCACATTACCATTGTCCCCAGTGCTGTCACCATCAGTTGATGGCATACCAGAACCTACATCTACCACTGACCCAGTTAAACTGACAAGACCTTGTAATTTGTCTATTTCTCAAGAATCATCTTCAGATAGGTCAAGTATACAAGATTCAGAACCTGTTTCAATGGTTCCTGATTTAGCAAAGACATTTACAGCGAATGAAGGAGTGACAAAACTCTCAGTATGTGAAACACAGGTGTCTTGTGACACTACATCAGTAATGTCTCAAAGCTCTAAACGTAGAATCTCCACCAAAGCATTCCACTTGTCCTTATCTCCAATAACACTCCCTTCTCCTGATTCTAGCAGCCGCACATTTATAGACTCAAAGAATTCTACTGTCTCTGATCAGTTGCAGAGAGGCAAATCACCTTCAAGCCATACTGGTTTGTCAGTAGAGCAAAAGGAAGGAATCCCATTAACTCTGGGATCATCTCATGGATTGACAAACTTCAGCAGAGTTGAGCGTATCCACAGATCTCTTGGTTTGACATTGAAATCTCCTGAATGTGAAACAATGGATATGTCTACTACATTAAGTGAGAAATCAACAGAAAACAAGAACTGTGCAATATCTTCAACACTGAGACCAGCAGAACTGAACTGCTTTTCAGACAATAAATCTTCATTGTCAGAAACATTGACAATGACAGACTTTTCAGGATTCAGTGGCAGGGAGGTTAAATCTTCTCCTACTGCTACTATCACAAAACCTCAGCTTCGACCAACATTCTCCTTACAGCTTGGTGTGGCACCAGCAGAATCTCTGAAATCAGACACAAAAGAGAAGCTTAGTAAAGGTGCAAAGAGTAGCACTATTTCATCCTCTATGACTGCCTCAGGTCCACCGCCATGTAATAACAATGGTAAAATATCTCAAGAGCAGACAAAGTCTAATCAACAGGGTCTGGGGATGAGTCAGTTGTGTCCAGCTACTTCTCCTCAGACCATCCAGTCCCCGTCTGCAGCATTAGCTCGCCTCCATTTTGAAACTGCAATTTCAGAGCGTACAGAAACTGTTACAGTGGAAAACATTTCAGAGGCGATCAATTTCCCGTCTACCTCTTTGGACAAATTGAACTTCACGCCCTGTTTTGCAAAATCACATTCATCATCACCATCTTCATCACCGTTATCTTCTATGTCACCGTCGTTGCCAGTAACGACCAGTATTTCAGTGTCATCAGCGGGCAGTAGCAATGCAATGGACATAGGGTCTCCTCTCAGTTCTCCCTCAGTAGTCAGCAGCACAATATCCTCATCCACAACTGCTTCTTCAACCTCAAAGGTCATGCTCAGGTCAAAGGGTAATAGGGCAAAAAAGTCTCTTGTTCGTCCAGCCAGCATAGCATTTTCTACCTACCCTACATGTGATCTGGGCTCTGATTGTCAGGAATCACCAAGTTCTGGGAGTAACACCTCACAAGATGATGCATCTGATATGTATATGGTACAAAATGGAAAGAGATCCAAGCCTTCTGTGGACTCAGACTGTGCAACCCGCAGTCATTATGGACGTTACTCTGAACGTGATGTATATAAACAGATCACAGCAGCGATGGAAAGTGCCATGTTTAGGACACAAGTGTATGAGGCAAGCAGAAAAACACGTAGCATGGATGACATTCTTAATGGAGATCAGGACCTTACAGAATCTGACTGTATTTGTACACCATTCGGAAAGATCCCACGCCGATGTGCAGACAGAATGTCATCAACAGGACTGTTTGAAAATTTGCCTTGTCGTTGTCGAGGGGGACAGGATATCTACCAATCGAATAGCAGCATATCATCGAGTGGCAGTCACAGCTCACTACACGGCAGCCTAGAACTCATTCAGGTATCCTAGGCCTGTGTCCAGCACTCCCTGCCTTGTTGTGGTGCTTGCATGAAAGACTTTTTAATTTACCCATTTAAGTTATTTTTTGTGGCTGTAACACTACTTAATGTTTGTTTTACTGGTTTTCTGTTTATTTGATTTTATTTATGTTTGATATTGTGTTTGGTATATTTTTGATTGTTTTCCACATAAGATTTCTTTGTCCTTGATCTTTGCAACAAGAGTTTTGAACATGTGATTTCACATATCAGCATGATGTAAAATATTGGAAGGGAAGTAACTCTATTATGTTTAGATCTTGTTACTGCTAATATCAGAGACAAAGAAATTTAGTTTTGATTTTTTTCCTCACCTGGTGCTATGATTTTAAAAAAGAATTCTTCTTTTGTTTTCTTTTAGATTTTGATTGTTGTGCCTAATTTTCAATGTGCATGTAGCTATGTGGTAAATATAGTCCTACATTTCAACAGGTTCTGCCTGACTCTCTTTTGTTTCATTGGCTTTCCTTATTACTTTAAATTGATCTTTAGAAAATTCAACTCAAGTGCCTCAGATTTATGTGGATAATTTTCAAAAGATTTTAAAAAGCGTTTTTTAATATGTAGCTTAATTCATGATTTTTTTTCTTTCATACCTTCTCTTTACACCACAGAGGTTCTGCTTTCTTATGATTACAGTAATACATATTTGATATTGTGTATGAAATATTTCATAAATTGAGATGTGAACTTTCACTGTTGTATCTATATATTCTACATCTGCTTTGTCTGTGGAAGTTATCTAGCAGGTGTGTCAGTTTACAACAAGAGATAGCATTGGAAATATCAGGGAAATTTCAGACTGCTTCTATTGGCTTTTGATGACAATTGATTTCAAATTCTGCAGAATTGTGGGGCCCGGTTTTACTTTTTCTGTTAAGAGGAGAAACCATGCAACTTTCATTGGCATGTGTGTTCTACCAGAGACGTATACCTGGTATAACACATATACGCTTCTGGTTCTAGGTAATAGAAGTGTTTGTAAATTTTTTGCGCTCAGAATTATTTCTAATGATAGATGGATCAACTGCTTATTAAGTTAATTAAGCTGATCATCTGTAATTTGAAATGTTGGCAATTTTGTAAAATGTGCCATATGTTATTTATAGTTGTAACAAAGAATCTGTCCAAGCTTTACGCGGTTGGTGGTGAATGAGTTGTCTCCCTTACTGATCAATAATGTGACATACAGTGTATTAGATGATATCTGGTAGTGCCCTATCACCACTGATTGGATTTCTCTTAACCCAAACTGGACAGTGGATAGTAACAGAAGTCTTCATTATTTCCATTGATGGAATGGTTGCTAGAAATACTTTGTTAACTAAATGATAGATGATTTTTTTTCTGATAAGGATAGAGGGGTTTGTATGAGGAGCTGATAAGAGTGTTAGGAGTCAGTCAATATGAGGAGCAATTTCTTAAATCCTGAGTGATCCATTATCACTTATACATTAGATGGTTCCTTATCAGTGCTGAAGCAATAATAGTGTCTATCTAGTAGTGTGGTCAGGAAGCTGACACTGTGGTCAGTACTGCCAACTATAATTATAGAGACCTCCCTCTACAACCACAGATTAAGTTTTAGATTACATTTAACACCTCACAGTAGGTCTCCCCTTGTTTTAGCCAAATCTTAACTGATCCATTGCTTTGTTATTTCAACTTTGCTAATTACATTTCCACTAATTATTTTTAATTAGCTTTACCTCATCTGGATCAATTATGTATCAACTATAATGAACTTATTTGGATAACTTTACACAGATCGAAGATAAACAAACAAATGTATTTGAAAAACGACAAAGGGAGGATTATTAATATTAATTGCTAGAAAAAACAGTTAACTGATTTATTAATAGATTAAATTTCTTCGAAAGGGCTGTTATCATCTGCATAGTGTTTTTAGCATTTTTTTCATACTTGACGAGGTACATATTCTGTACCTATATTTATTAGAGTCATCAGATAATCCAATCGATGTGAAAATGGTTGTTCTCATTTAAAATTATCAAAATTTCTTTCAATAGGAAGCTAAACATGATGAGCAAATGTCTTTTAGAAAGAGATAATTATTGATAATGCGACAATGTACAGGTATTACATTAACAGGGCAATGTTTGCAATGTTTGTAATCAGCCAGGGTGATTTATAGTTGTGGTAACTGTCATGCAATGTAACCAGAGACTAACAGATAGAAGGATACTATGTATGCTGAATAAGTGTGGCTTTCATAATATCTAATTAGTGACATAATTTAAGAGGAATATGACATTTTCCCCTATTGTTCTTTAAACAACAACATTGAATTACCACCTGGAACTTTAGTCCCGCATTTCTATATTTTGAAGATAATTATTTTCTGTATGAAAAATTAGATAAACTAAATAGTCCTGAGTCTCTATATATTGTATGAATCATGCAATACAGCAACACCTTCATAAAATTCTACCATCAGCTGTTACAGTTAATCTATTTATAGAAATACATGTAGTTTCCATCTGATTTTTTTTTAAAGAAAAAAATGAATTTTATATTGTGTATTTACGGGAGTCGATTGACTTATGGCATAGCTTGTGCCTTTTAGGAGGGAGTACAGGTGACTTAACAGCTTATGTAATATATGTTAGATAGTATGAATGACTGACGACACAGTTTTGTGTCCTTCACACTTTATAGGGAGTCTTATCAACTGATAACACAGCTTGTGTTTATTATTGGGGAGTATGAATGATTGTGTTGATAGCCTGTGTGATATGTACTAAGTAGTTGGATTCTTCTTTGATGCCATATTTACTGTTGATTTGATCCCTGTCTATCAGCTAATGTTTGTGATTCTTGTTGTTATCATTGTCACACATGTTAATGTTCTCTTCATTTGTTTTAATGTGAATAATCAATTAAAAATAAACTTCAATTGAATATTCCTGCATTAGCATTATCTATACATCAAGCTCAGTAATATTTCCTTGCAAACAAAGATAATATGATACCACATGGGCATTTCTTAACTTCTCAAAGTTCCATTTCATTATAATTCACAGACATTTTAGGAGGGAATGCTTTCCTTTACAGAAATATGATATTTTTTTTACCCTTTATGTTCATGCTAGAGATATCTATAAATATCTAAAACAGTGAAAATCTGGGAGAAAACAGTGCATACATAGTGAAATAAAACTGGAAAAAAAAGTAAAAAATGCATGTTCTTTAAAGTAATGATAGTTCAATTTTTTATGAGTTACATATTGCTCAGTATTGTATTTGAGTGTATGGTATACAAATAATGAAGTATATAAATGATGCTATTTTGAAAATTAAGTGTCTTTGTGTAAGAAAGAAAATGATTTAGGAGCAGATAATTTCGAAAAATTAAATTATTGTATGAAAAAGAAGTAGTCTTCAGTAAGTAGTATGTTGTTCACTGGAAGTAATATACAAGTATATGAAGGAGTGTCTCGTAATATGTAGAAAGTAATATAAAGCCAACAGGAAGTAGTATATATTGCACAAGAAATCAGTATCTAGACCAAAGAAAATAGATTTAGTCCACAGGAAGTAATATATAGCCAACAGGAAGTAGTATATATTTCACAAGAAATCAGTATCTAGACCAAAGGAAATAGATTTAGTGACAGGAAGTAATATTTAGCCAACAGGAAGTAGTATCTATTGCACAAGAAATCAGTATTTAGTCCAAAGGAAGTAGATTTAGTCCACAGGAAGTAATATATTATCCATATTACATTTTTAATAGTGTCTAGTCAACAGAAGTAATATGAAGACTACAGAAAGTATATTATTAAATCCAGAGGATAAAGTCCCCCATCCTCAGGAAGTAGTATCTAGTCCACGGAAAGTAGTATATGTCTTAATTAAGTCACTTAGAAGTTGTGTGTAACTCAACTTGAATTAGTATCTAATTTATAGGTAGTATTCCACAGGAAGTAATATTTAGTCTACAGGAAGTGATATGTAATCCAGAGAAAGTGATAAGTAGTCCACAGGAATGGTATCTTGTCTAACTAGAAGGGACTTCTATCAACAATATGAGACAATGTTGGGTATACAACAAGAAATATGTAGCCCATATAAAATTGTGTATCTGAATTATTCATTCCACACAAAATATCATTTAGCCCATAGGAAGTATTATTTAGCCCAACAGAGGATAAATTATCTTATCTACAGTACATTTAATTCAGTTGGATGTAGTTGTCAAGTGTAATCCTCAGAAAGAAGTATGATCAAGTTATTTCAACGCTAATGGAAGTAGGATCTCAGTTTAATTGACTTGTAACCGACAGGAATTAGTACGTAGATCACATCTCAGTACAAAATTATATCTTGCCCATGTTAAATTATGTGACAAAACATGCCCTGCTTCAGATTTCAACTTTTGTTTGTTAACATCCAGTATCTGAACAGTGAAACAATGATCCTATACAATTATATCTACATCACTGCATGTGGGTTTGGCACACAAAATCCAGAGATTTAAAGCATAGGTCTGATAAAGAAGACCGTGAGATATGAAAAGTAGTTATGACAGATGATACAGAAGTTTGACGCAGAAAATCTGATGATTTCACAAGTAGTGCTGATACCGATTTGACCTAGACATCTTAGAGATCTGACATTTAGGCACAGAAATTCATCTAGAGAATTGACATTTAGGTCTGATACAGAAGATTAAGAAATTTTACATTTAGGTCCGTCACAAAACTAGAGCATTAGTCATGAAAGTTTTTTTTTTGTATTCCACAGGGACAAGAGCAGGTAGAAGAGGGGTTTGGACATCTAGCTACACCGTCTCCGAGTGGCTGGATCTGGTGCACACAGGTAAGACACTAATAATGGATTTGAAGTAATGATAAACAACTATGAGTAGGGTTGGCTGGCTGAAGATGTGAAAATTGAAATTATGAAAATTTAAGTCACTAAATAAAAAAGTATTTTCTGTTGGTTTTTTTTCATATGAGAAATAATTTTATATGCAATCGCATTTTTACTACCAGAATTTCTTGGCCCCATCAATTTTATTGGGGGGCAAGGGAGGCATGTATTTATATCTTTAAAGAATTTTTCTAGCTTTGATAAACTTTTAAATGAAATAATTATTTTTCAGTAAAGGTTACCATAAGGAAAAAAAAAACCAATCCAACCATATGGTGTCATTTTATGTATACATCATTACAGTTTTAAAGCAATTTCAAGTATTGTGAAACAAAATTAAAAAGAATGATTGACCTATTGGGTCACACCATTCCTCTACCAGTCCTGCATCACCTGAATGATGTGGCCGTCCGTGAAATGTTATGACATGTATCAATATAACAGTTGAATGCCTTGTAAGGGGAAACAACTCTAAAGCATAAAAATCTCAGGAATATTGCTTTCTATATATAAGGGAGATAACTGGTACTCGAAGTTGCATGTTGAACAGCATTCAATCTTAACTTAACATTGAGCCATGTCACCTACAATATCCATCTTCTTTTCTCTTCGCAGCCTCCTTAGAAAGCAGTCTTTGACTTGACTACATTGTCACAGCACACTAAGTGTTCATTGATCATCCTGCACAGCAGAAATTCTCAGGACTACGACTGTCACCGTCATGGCGATATTTGTCTACACTTAGTCCCACCTAGTATTATGAGGGTTTAGTGCCTTACACAGAAGAAATCCCGAATATCATGTGATTCATGCCATAACTACCTGAACATGGTTATTATAGTATCTTGTTTCTTATTTTTGTCACATTCTTTTCATACAGAGCATAAAAGGAATTGTTTGACAGATGTAAATATTACGATTGTCAATGTTAGTATATTAGGGTATTTGTTCAACTTTATCATTGTCTCCTGCATGTTAGTTACGGAATTCACAAATTTTGAAATAATTTTATAAATATTGTACTTCTAGAGTTTGTTAATTAGGACTGAAACACCTCCCAATCAGGAAGTAGTCCATTACTGTTATCATTGTCTAGATTGTTAAAGTTCTTTTAGTTTAAAAACAGAAATTTAAGTGTTGCTCAGGTGAAATTTGTTATATCTGTAATCAGAATTGGAAACAGGTACATACCTCAGCTTATATCATCTCTTAGTTTGGAGCAAATGTTTAGTGGTTGCCTGTAGATAATTGTAGATAATTATTACATTAAAGTTTCTAAATGCTTTCATGGACAAAAACACTTTATTAATGTGATACTAAATAGGAGAACACAAACACATAACAAACATGTTTCTGATAGACTCTACATTTTATGTGGTTTGGCCTTATTTGTTTGATCTTATATACAATTCCTTATGATATCACAATACAATACAGTTCTTACATACCATTTACCATCATACACTGTTTATATTGAATTCTCAACTTTGGGAGTTTCTTGATTATCTGAACCTGACTCAATGAAGAAGCGAAAAATTTCCTTATTCACAGCTTCACATGCACTGGTGCACACTGTTATCATAGCATGTAGTGTGTCAACAGTAACACTTTGTTTAGATTCATTTTACAACCAATTCACAGTCAAGGTCAAAATGACAAAGGGACCAACATTTTTATTGAGAATTACAATGTATGGACAGATATAGTCAATTAAAAAAAAAAAAATCAGTTTAGAAACATATAAATATATATAGTGTTAGGGTTAATTCTTGTTCACTCGTTATTACACAGTAGAAATAGAATAGTTTGAAATAATTCATTAACTTGGTCTTAATATTTAAAGTACAGAAAGTAACTTGTAGTGCCAATGATATTTTCATAAGAGGGAAAATGTGGTGAAATGTAAAATTAACAGAACACTCTATGAAGAGAAGCTGTTTCATTTTATAACCTAGATGTATCAGATTTTAAATATGTTTTTGCAAAAATATCACATTATAATTAGATATAGCTCTCTTATTTAGATACATTCAGGTCTGTTGTTTTATACCAAGTCAATATAAGATAAGCTGGCAATAAAAAATGTGATCAAAGTACAGAAAGGGTGTTGATGTCAAAGTGCACAATAGAAAACAAATTAGATTACATAGCCAGATTCATGGAACATGATAAAATGGAAATATTTATATAAACAATGTGACGTCAATTCAGTCAGGTAAAATCGCTGTTACATGTATGTGCTAATGTTTGTACATATAGATTGAAAAGCTTCTGGTCCTCTAATATCTGACTATTACGGATGACGGGGCCAATATCAGGCTAACCTGATAAAATCAGATGAGTTTGTGACACTGAAAACACCAATCGTTCTATAATATATTTACCTAACTGAAAAGGGATGTTTTCACATTGTCTTAGATATAAGGATTGAAACCCTTTAGAATGATTGTTGTAATTTTGAATTTAGTATTTCTGATTATTACTATTAAGAGGTGACATCCTGGATAATTCAGAAACTATGTTTTAGATTATGTAGTTGTAATAAATGGTAAAATTTTTATCTAAGATGTTATAACTGTTGTTCCAATGTCACTCTGTACAAAATACTTTCATAGATTCGAAGGATAAGGGAAGATAATCCAACCACAGGAGAGATCCCATAACCAAATTTAATGTAGAATTAGTAGTATTAGATGTAATTCAAAATGTTCAGAATTGTTCATGAACTTCAGGATCAGCTTTTGTATATTTCCATGAAAAAAATTCAGGATAATTTGAACTTGATATTGAAGATTTTATGATTTTTGTTGTTGGGATATAATATTTGTGATTTCATTAGTGACGGAGTTCTAAGAATGAAGTTGTATCAATAGATATATGTATTGGTAACAACTCTGAAACAAGTTTGCTGATGTAGGTGTATAACCTATCCTCTTAGCTACCTTGCTAAGGGTCTGCTTTAGAAAATGCAATGCCTTGTCATGATCTCCTATTCAGGGGCTTTTAAAGGGAGATAATGCATATGTTCGTCTATAATACTCACTATGCATTGATACCATATCAGAAAGGCATTATTGAATATAAGTTTGTCACTTTATCCAGAAGTATATAAATTGCAGTACAGATTTGTTTTATATTGTGGTTGTTAGATTGTTAATGAAAAATAAAATCAGCACATGTTAGAAACATAAGTGTAAAGTAACGATAGTTTCTTTGGCCAACTGTGTTATTTCTTTGTTTTGTTGTATTTTTTATTCTTTGATCATATCATTATTTGTTGCAAAAGGTACAGAAAAAAAAAAGAAATAAATTTCAATTTTTCAAATGTTAACATCTAAGTTAATAAGTATTCTGTCAGACATTTTTATATGGCTAATTGACAGGATGTGAATATTAATTACAATATTGGAGTCAATATTTGATATAATATGTTTTTGTATTGATCATGTATGTTTTGTATTAGTGATACTTGTTTTGTAAATCCTTACCTTTGGTATATGTGCAATTTGATTACTTATCTAAAATGTTTAGAAAGTAAAGTTTTCAAGTGCAAACTTCACTCTAGTCAGTCATTTTTAAATGCATTTTTTACAAAAATCATATGTGGAAGCAAAGTGAATTTGTTCCTTACGTGATCAGCTTCATGACTTTTGTCTTAAAAATATCAATTTATTATTTGAAAATTATAGCAATGTAAAATTTTGCAACGTCAAAAGAATTTGTAAAGATAAATTGTATGTATGATTATTAATTTTGTAGGTGGCAGTAACTTGTTCATTCTTGATAAATTTTAAATTCTTTAAAGTACATCAATGCAATATCGAAGTAGGCATCTTCAGTCATGTTTGTATGTACATTTATTTATTTCAGTTAATATTTGAATAATTTATTTATACAATTTAGAACTTTTGTTTTTATTTCTGGTCATACATATATAAGACTATTCCCTCCTATTGTGTATGGATGAGATATCACCTGTATGAGACCGTTTCCAGTGTTATCTGGTAGAAGTGATTTTGTGTTTTATGTAGGAGGAGTTGTTGAGAAATATTAATATGTATATTGTGAAAAGTTGTGATTTTCTATTCTAGCACTGTCCTATTATCATTGAACCACTTAGCAGAAAAGTATAGAATATCTCATTAGATTTTCCCATTTATATATGAAATACAAAGTTACCATACCATGATGTCTTGTCATATTTAACATTACAAAACATTTCTTGTTAGTTTTTTCATCTCTCTTGAATAAAATCATCTGATGCTTGGGACCAATATGGTGTCACCACATTATTTCAATTTGAAATATAAATTAGAGGTACAGTCCTTTCCGTTCTGACTTACTTACAGCCTAAGTCTTGTGAAATTAATCAGTGCACATCCATTTTAAAACACAAAGTTCTGTGTGTGTGTTGTACGGGTAAATATGTCCAGCAATGGTTTATACCATCATGGTATGGTAAACTTATTTCTTTTCTCATGAGACTTGGCTTGATGGAGGATTTTGTTTGCTGTAAATTTTTAGAAAAAAATGTTGATCACGCTGCAAAAGTTAAGTTTTCATCAGTGTAAAATTTCAGGTAAATTAATGATTTCATATTGAAGATAAAACTACTGTAAACAATCTGTCTTTCTGGTGAGGTTTATTTCTCGTGGCTTTCATGTTGAAATTTAATTGATGCATGTTAATAGTGGCCAATTAATACGAGGATGATAAACAATAATAATAATGGTAGCATAATAGAGTCTGTTTTTTTTTTAAAGTAAATAGTTGCAAAATGGTTGTAATGCGATGCTGATATCATGAAAGTTTGTTGTCAAAAAAGAAAGATGGCTTACAATGTAAAGGATCTGATTAAGAGGTAAGCCCAATCTTCTTCTTGCGGTATATTGTTGTAAAAGTTGTGAACTACAGTAGTAGGGATAATTATTTGAAAGAGATGTAAACTTTCACCTGGGTGTAATAAATAAAGTGTAAGTATTATCATGATTTCTACAGCAAACAAAATCTCCATTTACCAAGTTTGTTCATCTATTTTGCTGTGATTTTGTAAATTTTAGAGTTTATATCAACTATATATATATCCCTAATGTTATTTGTACATTATCCATATTATTATGACAAAGTTCATCACACAATATCTATATATATAAAGATATATATATATATTGGTTAATTAATTCCTGTTTACAGTAATTAGTTATACATGGTGAAGTGGTCAAATAAAATGTTGTTGGAATTTACAATGTCTTCTTTAATTCTTTTGGTCACTGGATACTCGGTATTCTGTGAAGTCTTTTTCATCATTCCAAAATGAATGAGATTGTCCTCTCTATCTTGCCAAACTAATTGTTAGCTCATCTGTCTTAAACTTAATCTGAAAATAAACCAATTTACCTTGAAGCACATTTGGCAGAAGAGATAGTCAAAATTTGTTCATAAAAAAATCATTATTAGTTCCTTAGGGACAGGCAGGCTAGACCCAAAAATGATAAAACATCTCTTATGTTACATGTTGGACAGCTTTGATATTTTATTTCTATTGTGTCGTGGGAATATAAATATACAGTTGCGGAAATCAGTTCCTTTGTTTGATAAATGAGACCATGCAAGATCAGGATTCAGAGGACAACATTAGTGATATAGTCATTGCTGGAGATGAGGAAGACACTTGCCATGGTTGTCAACTAGGTCTGACAAAGGTCATAACATGAAAATTTTGATACTTCTACTGATAACTCCACATATATATATATCATTGTTTGACATGATGATCGTTGGATCTTTGATAACCTCTCCCCTTTGACACTAACTTTCCTTGAGAATATCCCCATGGAAATAGTTCAGGTTTCCCCTATACGAACATAATGAATGAAAACTGTAACTTATGCTACAATATAGATAGATACCGATATCAATCACAACAGCCCCGGAGTTTAGGATTCTCAGAAAGAAGCCAAGAGGGCAAAACCATTCGACAAATTGAAAATTATAAACGCCGAGTCTTTTGTGATGGATATATCTATCTGATTTGTTCTACTTCTCAATCGCCTTGCATACCCTTAGGGTATCCAGCTGAGGAGTGAAGGAAACAACAACCCATGCTAATAGGATGAACAGCCCTATACCAGAATTCTCTTATGCTACACTATATATATATCCTGTATACTGGGTAGTCATTTTTTACCATGTAGCAAAGTTTGTAATTTGTGGTGTTCAGGATCAAATCTCTGCATACTTGTTGACCCTTTCTATTCAGGAGGGCCCATTAGACATCAATTTTAGGATACATATGATTTAAGGTACATAAAGTTGGTCAGAAGGTAGTTTTCATGCACATTTCTAATGTGTTAAGTTTTGATCGCATGCAATATCCAAATGGAAATTCAAAAATGTCAGAACTTTGTGCTATATTTCATTTTAGTGGATAGAATTCTAGATTCAACTCTCAAGAGATAAGATCTTGAATCAAAAATCTTAATTATAAGTCTTGGGTTCCATTCTTGGTGACTGGATTCACTGAATTAGTAACCTGAAGATTCAATGCTCAGGTGGTGGAGTGCTGATCCAAGAATGTTATAAGTCCGGGGTTCCGTTCCTGGTGAGTGGATCACTGAACCAGTAATCTGAAGTCCTAGGTTCAATGCTCAGGTGTTGGAGTACTAAACCAAGAACATTTAAATTTTGGATAAATAATATAATTTGGCCTGTAGATATGCACAAGTCTTCTGATGATATTTGTAAGAGTTGTCTCCCTTCGTCCATAAACTGGATATTTTATGCTAATAGTAAATAATACAATTAAAATCAATTCATGCAATGCAACAATACCCCAACTTGCTTTGTAAATAAAATCTATTAAGTCTTTCTATCTGATTGATAAGTAATTTGTAATTCATGTAGTAAAACAATATCGAGTCTATTCAACATTAGAATGCCCGTTTCAGTCAAACATTCATCAGATCAGACTTTAATACATCACGTCAGAGGGCGCTTGTATTTCATTCTTGAACACAATTGTGTGCTGACGACCTACTTCATTTACCTGTCTGTAAACTGCAACATTTAAGGTAAGCATATTTGCATACATGGTTGATTAAAACAATGTATTGACAACATGAAGCAATGCATCGCGTAATTGGCAACATATCGAGGTAGGCATAACAGGTGTTGCAAGTTGGGAATCGTCGGTTGCAGTCAGTCACTGAAAGAAAATCCGGCAAATGCCTGAATGTTTCTCAACTTGACATCGAGTGCTTACAGAAACGCATCTTACACGCTTTTGCATTTGTCTATGAAATTATTAGTGCAAGAAAGAGTAGTGTAACTTCGTAAGACAATTCTAACGTATTTGGTAAATGTGAAGTCAAGTAGTTGTTTCAATGAGTCATTCTTGCAACATTTGGAAATCCCACTGGGAGATATCACACGTTTGTAACAGAAGGTATCTTATTTAATTATACATCAAACATTCAGCGAAAAATATTCACGAGTTATGCCTCCAAATGTAGCTCTATCTTGAAGATGATCTTGTTCAGAAAAAAACTAAATTGCAATAATTAATCTAAGATGTTTTGCAAAACTAAAACATTCGACTTTCTGAGGAAGTTCCCAATCTGTGTAACACGGAGTGCTTAAATTATATTTAGTTAATGACAGAAACATGAGTAGTATTATTCTAGTGGGTGTCGAACCTGCAATCCAACTTCCAAGTCAACTTCTTTGCTTAGGATGCTTTTTTGAAAAACAGAATTTCCTCTAGCTCAAGCAAGAGAGCTAGTATAATCCCCAATATACATGCATTTATATTAAATCTGCCAACTTAATATGTAATACATAAGGTTATAACATGTGTGGCAGATTTTAATTGTACATAGGACTGGTTGACCATAAGTTTCTTGCTAGAGGAAATTTCTCTTTAGCTGAGTGATTGAGTGTCCAACTAGTGACCAGGTGGTCGCAGGTGTTATCTGAGGTGGAAGCACGCTATTATGTTTCCTGTTACACATATATGTCATATGCAATAAATTGTTAACTAATAAAACTGCTTTTTTACATACAATTTCCATGACAAAAACGGAATCTGGGTTGGTCTACATAACCAATGTACTCTCATGGTCAAGTAAACAAACCATTGCTTATACATTGTCCAGGGCACAGCCCTGTAAGTATATTGTCCACAACACAAACTAGTAGTTATGTGGACAAGTACACAATTCAGTACTTATATTTCAAGGCACACAACCCAGAAGTATTATGGTCCAATACACAGACCATAGGTTATGTCGTCCAATGCGCAACCCTGTAGTTACATGTTCCAGTACACAACACTGTAGTTACATGGTCAAGTAAACAACCCAGTGCCTGCATGGTTCAGTACTCAACCCAGTAATTATGTAGTCCAGTACACAACCCAGTAGTATTATGGTCCAATACACAGACCATAGGCTATGTCGTCTAATGCACAACCCTGTAGTTGCATGGTCCAGTACACAACCCTGTAGTTACATGGTCCAGTACACAACCCTGTAATTATGTAGTCCAGTACACAACCCTGTAGTAATTTGGTCAGTACACAACCCTGTAGTTACATGGTCCAGTACACAACCCGGTAGTTACATGGTCAGTACACAACCCTGTAATTACATGGTCCAGTACACAGCCCTGTAGTTACATGGTTCAGTACACAACCCAGTAGTTACATATTTCAGTACACAACCCTGTAGTTATATGGTCAGTACACAACCCTGTAGTTACATGGTCCAGTACACAATCCTGTAGTTACATGGTCCAGTACACAGCACTGTAGTTACATGGTTCAGTACACAACCCAGTAGTTACATGGTCCAGTACAAAATCCTGTAGTTACATGGTCCAGTACACAACCCTGTAGATACATGGTCCAGTACAAAACCCTGTAGTTACATTGTCCAGTACTAAACCCTGTAGCTACATGGTCCAGTACACAGCTCTGTAGTTACATTGTCCAGTACACAACACTGTAGTTACATGGTCCAGTACACAACCCTGTAGTTACATGGTCCAGTACACAACCCTCTAGTTACATGGTCCAGTTCACAACCCTGTAGTTACATGGCCCTGTATACAAATTATAGTTACATGGCCCTGTACACAACCCTCTAGTTACATGGTCCAGTACACAACCCTGTAGTTACATGGTCCAGTACACAACACTGTAGTTACATGGTCCAGTACACTGTAGTTACATGGTCCAGTACAGAACCCTGTAGTTACATGGTCAGTACACAACCCTGTAGTTACATGGTAAAGTACACTGTAGTTACATGGTCCAGTACACAACCCTGTAGTTACATGGTCCAGTACACAACCCTGTAGTTACATGGTCCAGTACACAACACTGTAGTTACATGGTCCAGTAGACAACCCTGTAGTTATATGGTCCAGTACACAACCCTATAGTTACATGGTCCAGTACACAATCCTGTAGTTACATGGTCCAGTACACAACCCTCTAGTCAAATGGTCCAGTACACAATCCTGTAGTTACATGGCCCAGTACACAAATTGTAAATACATGGTCCAGTACACAACCCTCTAGTTACATGGTCCAGTACACAACCCTGTAGTTACATGGTCCAGTACATCACCCTGTAGTTACATGGTCCAGTACACAACCCTGTAGTTATATGGTCCAGTACACAACCCTGTAGTTATATGGTCCAGTACACAACCCTGTAATTATATGGTCCAGTACACAACCCTTTAGTTACATGGTCCAGTACACAACCCTGTAGTTATATGGTCCAGTACACAACCCTTTAGTTACATGGTTCAGTACACAACCCTCTAGTTACATGATCTATGGTCCAGCACTGTCCAGTAGTAGGTGTAAAGCATTTTCTTCAGTTTGGTTTTTTATATTCAATAGATTTTCCTTATCACAACTAAAATGTGATGTTTCAATGACTACGTTTTTTCTTTCAACAATTCCATCAAACAAATGACCTGCAAATTAAAGGGTACATGTGCTGTGTTGTACTTCAAAATGATAATAAAATGATCTATGTACACTAAAGTAGAGAATAAAGTATGAATAGAATTTAGTAAAAAACAGATTGAAAATAGTCCACTCACACGTTAGGTGGTTGAAG